CCCGCAAAGCCTGGCCACTGCCGACAGGGCCCTCCGATGAGCAATAAAAAGGGGCCGTTGTTGCCGCTGCGGTGGAGGGAAGATGAGACGGACGCTTCTGTTTTTCTCTCCCTGCATCTACCTCCTAATGCCCACAGAAGGAAAAAGAAGAAAGAAAGAGAGGAAAGGAAGCAAAGTGTGGCGTTCTGGGGCGTTCCACCCCCCTCTCCCCCTTTTACCCCAGAGGAGCTGTGTTGAGGAGAAGAGAGGGGGCGCTTGGGCTATGTGATAGGGAGAGCATGCGGGCACGGTTCGGCCCCCAGGCAGAGGGAACGAGGTCTGCTGCATGATTAATCTGGCTGAGGGCAGGAGGACCGCCACAGGCCTGCCGCATTAACTCCCTGCTCTCCCGCTACACACACACGCACAAACAAAAAACACACACCCACGGAAAATCTGGGTTGATGGCCAGTACGTGAGCCAGTGTGTCCACCTGCAGCAGAGGCAGGGTTAGTTTGTTTGGAAAGTGGAGCGAGTCTTTGTTTTTGCCACAGGCTCAGTCTCGCCTCTGTCACATGAGAGGCTGCACGCGGGAAGTCACAGGGATGTTTGTCTATTGGCATGCTGCTTGGACATGGTCACTGGATGTTAAACTTGTGCCTCGGAGCAGATAAGAACATCCCAAAAAAAGAATAAGACAAGAAGAGGTCTATTAAGGCTATCATAGTATTCAGTAATTTGATTTTTGGTGGTCATTTTTTATTTGTTCTCAATTTTTCTCTCAATGGCTTGTATCTTATCCTACTTTTCATGCAACTATGTTCTGTGTTGAACAAAAACTAATATTTATGATACTCCACAGGTTGTTCTGCTGGTTAATTGTGGTCAGACTAGTTCCAAGTGTATATATGCAGCAGTGGAGCTCTTCGGTCATTTGCTGAGACTCTGGCCAGCTCCAGGCCCAGGCAGACAGTGGGTTAAACTCCTGCAGTCTGCGCCGCATTAACTGGAAAGGAATGAAGTGTCAAGCGTGTTCTCACCCTGTGCCGCCACATTGAAGAAAATGGGCCTCCTTTTTTAACGGGCCTCCGTTAGGACAGCTCTGTCTGTTTACACTCGACAGATTTAAACGCTTCCAAAAATGGCACCCACAAACAACTTGGCTTCCTCAATGCATGAGGGCCAGTTCAAGAGCTTGCTTTTTGTTCACCCTCCCTGTCTTTCTCTCCCTCTTTCAATTTCACTTTTCCTCAGGTTTGGACTCGACACATATAAGCAAGAAAAATCTAAAAATCCAACTGATAGTAGTTTTGAATTTTAACAGTAGAGGTGGGAAACAGGGTAGGGTGTGTGTGGGGTGGGGTAGGGGGTTATACAGTGAACCCCACCAGTCCACACAGCCCTGCCAAACTGCTTTTAAAAACCCTGTTTTATTTATAGTGCACTGTATCTATGGCAACCAAAGAGGTCAGGCAAGCCGGGCCTGTGTTTCACCCTGCTCTAGGGATTAGGATTTCACAGAGGTTCTCTGATGTGCAGAAGGTGGGCTGGAGCTACTCACCAACTGAATGCCACTGACTAGTGGGAAAGAAAAACTCTCCGGAGTCCTGAGGAGAGGCTGGAGAGCTGCAGTGGGAATTCTGAGGAGAGAGAGTGGGTGGGGAAGATAGGGAGCTTCAGCAGACTCACGGAAATGGAGAGAAGTGTGATGCCAACCTTAATGAGCTAGTCTAGGCTCTGGAGAGCAAGCCGGTAGTGCTCGATTGGGGTTGTTTTTGCTAGTTCTCACTGATACCCGGACCAACTGATACCCAATCCAACTTTAAGGCTGTTGGCAAAAGCAACGGCATAAATATTTACCACAAAACTTGGTTCCAAGTAGTGTTGTCAAAAGTACCGACTTCGGTACCAGTCGGTACTGAAATTTAAAAAAATGTGACGATGCCAGCATTTCCAGCGAGCATTTTGAGCGATGTTGAGCGGATTCTTAAACACCTCTGATTGGCCATTATGTTCACATGCTCAACAGATCTGACTCTGATTTGCTACAATGATCATCTCTTCACGCTCTTCACCAAGCGCTTATCAACATATCTGTTGAGCGTGTGAACACAATGGACAATCAGAGGTGTTTAAGAATCCGCTCAACAGCACTCAAAATGCTAGTGGGAAATGCTAGTATCGTCACATTTTTTACATTTCAGTACTGACTGGTACAGAAGTCGGTACTTTTCACAACAATAGTTAAGCAAAAAGACTTGTGACAATAGTGTCACAGGTGAAAAGGGTTCAGAAGCAGCAGGAGAGGTTGCAAGAACTTGGAGCAATTTGGGGTCAATCAAACAGTCCTCAATTCCAAGATAACATGGGACTATTACAAAGTAGATATTTACAATTTTGTCTAAAGTCCTGAGCTATCTGAGGTCATTAGCCCATTACTCATAACAGAGATATGATAGGTGGCATAAAGAGAGAAACTCTGTAAAGCGGAAGATTTTTGTGGCCTTGTTATTTTCATCCCAGGCTCTGCGTCCAGGAGCCGTTCCAAATCTGTGCGTGGGAGCCAGTTGGAGTAGACCAAAGAGAGAGAGAAAAAAGAAAGAGATTTGGAGGGGGTGCTTTGACATGCTCTCCAAGAACGGCACCGCTTGAGCATGTGGACTTCCGGATCCCTCCCGGAGTGCACACAGTCAGCGTTGCTAGGAGACAGACTTCTGTGGGGTTGGTGGAGGATGACGCCTGGCAGGGTAGGAGGTGGAGTATGATTGTACGATTGGCCTCCACTCTTTTGGTTGGAACGAACTCAGTCCGCAACTCTTCCACAGCGTGGTCATTTCTCTAACCTCCACACCTGTGATGCCACCCCCAATCTCAAGGGGGTGCCATCAGCACCTGTGGCCACACAGCTTGTAGCACAAA